TTAGGGGCTGACCAAGCCCGAGTTACAGGAAGTGTATTAGTTACATCTATGGGGTTAAACTCCCACTCTTTCCCTGACACAAACAAGAAAAGCTTCTTTCAGCCCTTGTTAGATCTCGGGAGGTCAGAGATTAGAATTCAGATTTTAACCCATTTATCCATATAAAGGAATTCATCAGAGACAGAGAGAGAGAGAGAGAGAAATTGACATTAAAGAACTTCATATGTAGAGGTATCGTAGGGACACTGAGCCTGTTCTTCTTAAAGAAAGTCAAAAGACCCACCAGAACACCAAATTGGGAAAAAGTTGAGCAAGGCAAATGTAAAAATATTGGAAAACAGTTTTGAGGAAAGGATGTACAGGAAACCTAAGGTTGTTCTCGAAGGAAGCAACAAAGAAGCAGACCTTCTCAGGGACCATGATGTCATACTGAATATCTATATTCGAAGTTTAGTACTACGTACCGTTGTGAAAATCAAACCTAGTAGAGAGGACACTCAAAAAAGGAGGGGTAACCTCGCTGAAACCTACAAGATCTGAAGCTCGGGGAATGACTTTCATATCCCCAGCATTGCCAGAAGTCCCAACTCCGCTCACCTTAGACTTCCCTTTTCGAGACTTTTTAGATCTCAGAACAGGGCTGGGTAATGGTAGAGGGACCTTTGCCTGCTCCTTGGCATCAATAGAGTCAACACAAGGAAAATTATCTATCTCATCACCCACGTCCCCTAGGTCATCCTCCTTTAACTTAGGAGACCTATCACCTACGGCAAGGGAGACAGATGAAGCTGTGCCTTTAGAAGACGCAGACATGACAAGATAGGAGAAAGGAAGGCTAAAAGAGGTGTAGAGGGGAGGGACGCGGGTAAAATAGTCCTTGAGAGCCCTAGGGTCAAGACACCAACTGCCAAAAAGGAAAATCCTAGTTGTTGAATAAGGATCTAAGAAGAGAGAGAAGAAAGACAAGGAACGACCTCGATTTTTAAAATAGCATAAATGAAAAGTCAAAAAATGAAATAACCACCTCGAATTCAAGGAATCAAGAATGAATAGAAGCCCATAAAGAAGAAAGGGGACAACGAGGCAGAGGACATATCTAATCAAAGGCGATCAACAAACGAAGACCCAAAGTGGACTCAAAAATGGAAACGAGCTAGTGTCGTAGGCAATCCAGAGCAGATTGGGGCTTTTACCAATAAAATTCTAAGCCGCCAGATGATTGAAGAAGACAAAGCTTCATAAAAGAGGAAAGAATGGAGAATTGAAGGTGAAAAGAATTCAAATTAATGAGAAATGCAGTTTTTCCTGAAGATACAGTTAAGGCGAACATACAAGCAGACACGTGGAAACATGGGGATGAGGGACGTGCGCAAGAAATGAGGCAAGAATGATTACACATTCGCAATGCCTTAACAATTGAGAAACGTTTCATCATGAACATCTCGAGGTCAATCCCAAACAACCTCACTCACCCAGGCCAGAAATCAGTCCCAACTGATATAACTCTACCTGACCAAGGACTGGGGGGCAACTGATGATACCTTAAAAATGCAAGGTTGAGCTTGGAAATTCAAGTCATGCATTCCTAGACCGGGAACTCAACCTGCCTTGAATGAGCATCAAGCTTGAGGTTAGACTTCTCTGTAACTTCGTCTCAAGAAGGATAGCGCATAAGATAGCTGGCTTCCACCCTAGCGCCACCCAAATAGTAACAGTTGTATATCTAGGCAGGAGAGTCACAACTACCCCAACACCTTCCACAATCGTTACATGATAGTAGCAACTATTATAAGGAGGAGGCAAGGATCTCGCCGAAGATCAAACGAAGCCCAAGATCAACTATAAATAAGGGGCATAACCTTTAGTAGAAGACACACAAGCCCTTGTAGCCTAAACAAATACTCTATAATCTCATTTCTTATGAATATAATCCCCAAGAGCAAGAGACTCCCTTGAGAGTGGATTAGCCGAGCTCCCAAGCTGGTGAACTACTTCTGTGTGATTATCCTCTTTCCCTAGTCCAAACCTTGACAGCCTAGGAGCTCAAACTAAATTACTCAGTGACCATCAAATTCCTATCTCTGCTCTATTGTGCTACATACATCATCACCTTCTGNGAGTATCCTATTCCTACAAGCACGCTAGTCTCCTCTCTCTAATTGTCAAGGTGGTATGGTAGTTGACCGATAACCTCTTTTTTTTTATCAAGGCCAATAACCTCTTCAAATATACTTTTTAAGGGAAATGGCAGTTTGTCCTCGAAAGATTAAAAAATTTTCAATTTATACCCTTAAAAATTAATTATTTTAAATTATACCCTCAATTAAATTAATTGATAGCAGTGTGACCCCAATCATAATGTCCATTGTAATTTTCATCAAATTAGCAGCCACATGAGACATACTTGAAAAAGAGAAGGGTTATAATTTAACAAAAATCATCATGTACATTTTAAGTTATAAAACATGGATACTTAAAAAAGATCAAGATATTGATATCGAATATTTCTCGGATACGGATACGCGTCCAATATGACTGGATACATATTCAATACGGGATGAGAAGTATTCTAAAATTTAAAAAATAAATTTAATTTTCGGATATAGCAGGATACGCCTTGGATACGAATGAGATATGCTTAGGATAGTGGGATATTATTTGAATTTTTTAAAAAGTATAAGGACAGAAGAACAAATATGTTTGTGCCTTTGTAAAAAAAAAATTATAAAACGCCAATTCAGTCGACACCCCCCCCCCCCCTTCTCTCAATCGACGATCGACTAACTCTCTGTCTCTCGCTCTCACTCACGATGGACTGACTGTATTTGACGCCGATCGACGACGGGTATCTCCTCTTTCACCTCCAACGACCTGTATTTGACCCCGATTAGCCCAACTCAGTCGACAGCCCCCCTATCTCTCTGTGTCCAAGTACAGCGGGTAAGTTCTCTCCTCTCTCTCTCTCTTTTTCTGTCTGTCTATCGTCTCTTTTGCCTTTTACCAGCGATTACCATGCCTTTTGAGCCTTGAATTAGGGTTTGCAATTAAGGGGTTTTTTTGGGGGCCTTGAATTAGGGTTTGCAATTAGGGTTTTTTTTTTTGGAGCAATTTGGAGAACAATCTACACATATACAGATATACAATAAGGTAATGTCTGGTTCAAAAAATTAGATTCCTGGTTCAAAANTGGAGCAATTTGGAGAACAATCTATACATATACAGATATACAATAAGGTAATGTCTGGTTCAAAAAATTAGATGCCTGGTTCAAAAAATTGCAAGTTTTATTATATACATAATGCTTGGTTTTATATACATAATGCCTGGTTTATATATACTGATTCCAAGGTTTTTATATACATAATGCCTGGTTCAAAAAATTAGATGCACAATAAGATGGANTTGGAGCAATTTGGAGAACAATCTACACATATACAGATATACAATAAGGTAATGTCTGGTTCAAAAAATTAGATTCCTGGTTCAAAAAATTGCAAGTTTTATTATATACATAATGCTTGGTTTTATATACATAATGCCTGGTTTATATATACTGATTCCAAGGTTTTTATATACATAATGCCTGGTTCAAAAAATTAGTTGCACAATAAGATGGATGTCCTTGAATTTAACTGCCACTAAATTTTACTGCACTGCCGATTCCTTTTATTAAATTAATAATTATAGGGGAATGAGTAGGGGTACAGAAAGTATGGGCTCAATGGTTTCTTTTGTTTAAGCATGGACTTGATATTATGCAATATGTATGTTATATAAAATGGATGATTTATGAATGATAGAATGATTATTATTATATATCTTTGGTAGATGTGTGATTCACTTTATAAATCATAATTATTACATTANCCGATTCCTTTTATTAAATTAATAATTATAGGGGAATGAGTACGGGTACAGAAAGTATTGGCTCAATGGTTTCTTTTGTTTAAGCATGGACTTGATATTATGCAATATGTATGTTATATAAAATGTATGATTTATGAATGATAGAATGATTATTATTATATATCTTTGGTAGATGTGTGATTCACTTTATAAATCATAATTATNTTATATAAAATGGATGATTTATGAATGATAGAATGATTATTATTATATATCTTTGGTAGATGTGTGATTCACTTTATAAATCATAATTATTACATTAAATATAATAATAAAATTTTAAAAAATCTATTTTTTATAAACGTATCCTAGCCGTACCCGGTTTTGTTTTATCGCCGTATTCGTATATGTATCTGTGATTCATAGGTTATAGCCTTAATATTTAGAGGAGGGATACAAATAAATAAAAGAGAAAAAAAAATCTAACAAGACAGTTTNTGTATCACCGTATTCGTATCTGTATCTGTGATTCATAGGTTATAGCCTTAATCTTTAGAGGAGGGATACAAATAAATAAAAGAGAAAAAAAAATCTAACAAGACAGTTTTTCAAGCAAAGATTGAGAAAATGTCATCACAGATTAATGGTTTGACTTTATATAATGCACCTACTTCATTCATTTAGTAGCCAATTTCTAACGTAATGAACATCTACTAGTAAACAGAAACCNTTTTCAAGCAAAGATTGAGAAAATGTCATCACAGATTAATGGTTTGACTTTATATAATGCACCTACTTCATTCATTTAGTAGCCAATTTCTAACGTAATGAACATCTACTAGTAAACAGAAACCTTATGCATTTTACGTATAACTATATGGAGCTCATTTATTCTATTTATTATCTTAAATTCTTTAGCAAAAAACAACTTACATCTAAAAACATCTCTACCTTTTCTCGCTAAGTGATCAGTATTGTAACATCATGTTCCCCTTTTTGTGAATCGAAACAATCTACATTCCAAGTAAAATTGGTTCTACTCATGGGGTTATACATTTATGTTTAGGCTTTCCTATTTGGTCTAAATAGGTTGTGCCTCTATTTTTTTCTTGTTTAGCTCATATGGTTGAAGCCAGCCCCCAGCCTGGATGAACATGGGTTCTGTCAAGCAAATGGCTGGTGTTGATATGCATTCCATTGGCTTTGTGCGGGTGAACTTCATGTATTTAATTTGAAAAAGCTAAATTGAGTTGCTGATGAATGATGCAGGAGTCACAGGACATATAATGGAGGCTCAGTTGCAGGATGAGATATCACCCAATCCACGAGTTAGAGCGACACTGCACCTTGGATCAGAAACTTATTCTGTTCATGTGAAGAAGGGAATTCTTTCTGAACAATTGGTTTCAATGAAGGAGGAGAGCATGAGCATCCTGAAGGAGTTCATCACTAAACACAACGTTCCAAACNGGTTTCAATGAAGGAGGAGAGCATGAGCATCCTGAAGGAGTTCATCACTAAACACAACGTTCCAAACAATGACCCTGATGAGCCAGATGAAATTTCCTCAGAAGATGATGCTGAAATCCCTGAGAAGTCTCCTGTGAAGTCAAAGAAGCGAAAATAGTTTTTCTTACCNTCCCTGAGAAGTCTCCTGTGAAGTCAAAGAAGCGAAAATAGTTTTTCTTACCTTAGGGATTAAATTGCACAACAAAACATTTGTGGTATCTGAGAATATTTGTTAGTCAATCATGAGTTGTAGGTAATATCTATATCTGTTTAGGCAACATTGCAAGTTCTTGCAAAATTGTATTAGAGAAATACTTCTGAGAATGTGTTGGTGGTCATTCTTGCTTCTGGTATGATTTCTTCGTACATCACCTAGCATTTTGGAAGCTCTTCCCTTGCTTTTGTTTCACCCTTTTAGATACGTGGCTTTAATTTTTGCTCTTTCTGTTGCTGAAGATGGGAAAGTTAATTGAAATTTTTCTATATCGAGGTTGAGGCCAGAGCCATTTTAACCTACTGATAAGCAGGAGAAGGGGGTAAGGAAAGGTGGGGGAGTGCAAGAGAAAGTGAGAATTCCACAGGGAAGGTTTTTTACTTCTTACTATTGCCATTAAAATTTTAACTGTAATCCTTAAGCAAATTATAGAAGACGCATTATCAAATGGATTTGAAGTTTGTCCGTATAATAAAGCCTCCAAAAATTTTAAATTGTTGGTTGGTTGGATCAATTGTTTTAAATTGTCATACAAGTGATGACTTTTGTCAGATTATGGCGTTTTCCCTTTTCACTTGCATCTATTGTGCATGTCCATCCAATAAAAATTGTCATGAACGTAATTGAGATCGATATTTTCATTGAATTGACAATCACTTAAAATGTATGTAATGACTTTTGTTAAATTATGATCCTTCTTTTTTTCACGTATGTTTCGTGTGCCTGCCAATTTGATGAAAATTGCAATGGATGTTATGATTGGTGTCACACTGCTATCAATTAATTTAATTGAGGGTATAATTTAAAATAATTAAATTTTAAGGGTGTAAATTGAGAACTTTTTAATCTTTTGAGGTATAAACTGCCATTTCCCTTAAAAATTATATTTGAAGAGGTTATTGGTCTTGATAAAAAAAGAGGTTATTGGTCAACTACCATACCACCTTGACAATTAGAGAGAGGAGACTAGCGTGCTTGTAGGAATCGGATACTCCACAGCCACTTCCCCGGGAGTGCTCTCTTCAGTGATGGTGACTCCGATGAAGATCATCAACATTATCGGCGCCATCGTCCTTTCTTTGCTGGCAGTTGTTTCGGCTGACGTGTTCTTCGAAGAGCGCTTTGAAGGTAACACAGATTTCCTGGACGAGGTTCTATTTCTCTTATCAGTGAATTTTACTTAGCTAGGTTTCAAGAAATCATCCTCTCTTTCTTTTTTTTTCTCGTTTTAGAGATGATTTGGGAAAAAAGTAGAGTTCGGAAGCTGACATTGCTCAGGCTCGCGGTTGCAAACGAAGATGTTACTCTCTTGAACATATTTAGTAATTATCACCGACTGACATACAAGCAATAGAAATTCATAGCAATAAATGTGTTGATATGTTTAATTCGAACCTACATCTCACCGATCACACGGCTTCCTATCTAAAACTAAGTACATTTCGCCTTAGGATGAAGAATTTATAACCGTATGACTCGAAAGACTGAACTTATGTATTCGGTGCTTGGTAAAATGAAAACTTCGGTTTAGAATTCATTGCAACACATGTTTGTTAGTAGGATCTAAGCCAAAAACCTCTGTAAAGAATTTTTGGAGAAGGAATATATACCAAATATTGAAATTGTGCTCAAAGGGAGTGGACTTTAGAGATTCACAGCTTGAAAGGAGATCTTTATGGCCTATAGCGGACGGCGACACCTGTTTTATACTGTTGGATAATGTTTTCTTTCCTTGGGGCAATTGCTTTTTCTACTATGAATCACTTAGTCGCCATCTGTTTTTTTATGTTTTCCATAACATCATTAGCCTCATAATGGATCCTTATTAGGAGAAAAGAAAAATAAATTTGTGTGCGTTTATATCAGTTGATATTGGAGTTATCTCTGCTGTTATTTGACCACGAGGAGAAATAATTTATAGCATTGTGTTTGTATATTTTTTAACCTAATTACCCTAGACTTAGTAGCGATAGACCACTTGGTATGTTTTTGATCTAAATCATCCTTCCAAACCCCTACCCTCGCCTCCCCAAAACTTAAGATAAAGAAAATATGCATTAGCATACATTGATTGGTTCTCTTTTCATCATCACTAGGATCACTTGGATGCCCACAGTTTAAAATTTCTTTATTTTATATTGTCTTCCTTGTTTAAGAATTTATTGTCCTCAATAAAATCTTGCTGAGTGTTTTCAACCATGTAAAACGAGAAAGATGGCTGGGAGAAATGGTGGGTTATCTCTGATTGGAAGAAACACGAGAACAGGGCTGGCAAATGGAACTACACTTCTGGAAGGTGGAGTGGAGACCCAGTCGATAAAGGTGTGATACTGTTTATTTACATCTTTTTATAGTAAGTTATTCGAGTGCCTGATGCAACTTTGCTTATTATCATTGCATTACATATGTTGATTGTGACATTTCATATCTTTTTATTACATGATATGTTACTCCGCAATCACTTGCATGTCTTGGTTTAGGTATTCAAACCAGTGAAGACAACAGGTTCTATGCAATATCGGCCGAGTTTCCTGAATTTAGTAACAAGGACAAGACTCTGGTGTTCCAGTTTTCTGTTAAGCATGAGCAGAAGCTAGATTGTGGTGGTGGCTACATGAAGTTACTCAGTGGTAAAGTTGATCAAAAGAAATTTGGTGGTGGTACACCATACAGGTAGGCTCCCTTTCTTCAATTGTAACATGTTACTGTTTCCCTGTTGTTAAGTGTTCTTTTGTTTTCCCTGCTTAGGGTTCTTTTTGGTTTTTGGTCTAAATTTGAAAATTGGTGTGTTTCTGTGTGTTGTGAAATGCAGTATCATGTTTGGACCTGATATATGTGGGGACAGCACCAAGAAAGTTCACGCCATTGTTTCTTACAATGGATCGAATTACTTCCTCAAGAAAGATGTGCCTTGTGCGACTGACCGGCTGACTCATGTTTATACTTTCATCCTCAAACCTGATGCTACCTATACCATCCTAATTGACAATGTGGAGAAACGATATGGTAGTTTGTATTCTGATTGGAAGATTCTTCCTCCAAAGAAGATCAAAGATCCTAAAGCCAAGAAAGTAATTAATAAAAAAATAGTTATGGATTCTATTCTTAGATTATGGTATGGCCATGATGAACTTTGATGACAACATAGCTACTTCTTGGCCATTTACAGCCTGATGATTGGGACGATCAGGAGTATATTCCTGATCCGGAAGACAAGAAACCAGAGGTAAACGTCTTCAGCTGATGAAGTTTTGCTGTGATCTTTAACTGAAACCTGACATGTATATTTAGCAATCTGACTACATTTCTATTTTTGAAGGGCTATGACGACATTCCAGTGGAGATACCTGATACTGATGCTAAGAAGGCAAGTCTTCTATTATTTTCTGTTTGGTCTTTTGCATTTTATTGTAAGCATAGCTCTATAGACAGCAAGGTAGTACTGAACCGCATGTTTACCACTCAAGCCTGAAGACTGGGATGATGAGGAGGATGGTGAGTGGACACCTCCAAAAACTGTAAACCCCAAGTACAAGGGGCCATGGAAGCAGAAGGTTAGCTGAAATATGTTCTGTTTGAAAAATTGCTATTGTATTCTAGAAGCATAGTTTATAACTGCTCTTGATATTTTTGCAGACCATAAAGAATCCAAACTACATGGGGGAGTGGAAGGCTCCTATGATCGACAACCCAGGTTGTGCATATGTTTATGTGTCTTTGTCTTTATGCATCTTGCAATCAGTTTTTTTTTCAAAGAATACTGTGATATTGTTTTTTTTTTTTTTCAGATTTCAAGGACGACCCAGATATCTATGTCTACCACCATTTGAGATACGTGGGGATTGAATTATGGCAGGCAATTGTCACTACATTCAATATTTGCTGCTTCTTTTTTTATTTTTTTTATTTTTTACGGAATTTAGAATCTTTGTCAAACATTTTATTTCCATCAACCAGGTAAAATCTGGGACCTTGTTTGATAATGTTTTGGTGTGTGACGATCCTGAATATGCAAAGCAGCTTGCTGAAGATACTTGGGGAAAGCACAAAGATGTGTGTTTTATTTGCGGTATAATGTTTTCAATCTTTGTTAAGGAATTTACAGTTCATTAATGCTGAGATCATATGTGTTTGCAGGCAGAGCAAATTGCATTTGATGAGGCAGAGAAGAGGAGAGAAGAAGAGGTATTCTCATGCTCACCTGAAAGGGGGTGTGAGATTTTGTGACTTGAATATATCTTTATGTGTTGTGTGTGCTGATATGCCCTTGTTTCTACACATCATAAAGGAGATGAAGGGAAGGCAAAGTCTCTCGGCGCTCCCCTCCCCCTTTTTTCCTTAATGACCATGGGTTTTGTCATGGACACATCTGATGAATTAATGATCTTAGCTGTGTCCCCACCCATGGTTGTTTCACCAAATTAGTAATGAAGTCCCTGTAAAACAGTAAAAAGAAAGGGATTGTTTCCATGAAATTTTCTCTCTTTTTCTATGTCTACTGGAGGGAATTTTTTTGTCTTTAGTTCATTTAACACCTATTGGGAAGTGTGTGAAACTAATCTCTATAATGTCCTCTAGTAGCATTAGCTCCCAGAGTCTGCTGATCACCTTGAATGCTCTAGGATTTTTAGCTTAAGTATAATTTGGGTTTGCTTTAGTCGGTAAATCTGATAATATGTTCCTAATTCTGCTTCTTATTGTATCAGGAATCAATGAGTGATGCAGTTGATTCAGATGTAAGCTTCTGTTAACACTCTCTTAGGTTTTCACTTACATCACCAGCATGTTCTCAAGTATGCTTCTTATCTTTCAGGAAGATGAGGATTTTGATGATGCAGAAGGTGATGGGTATGATGAAGAGGCTAGTGAAGAGACAGACAGAGATGGTTGGGCAGCAGATGATGCGCACGTAGGTGTTCAATCTTTTTGTGAGAGNATTGACAATGTGGAGAAACGATATGGTAGTTTGTATTCTGATTGGAAGATTCTTCCTCCAAAGAAGATCAAAGATCCTAAAGCCAAGAAAGTAATTAATAAAAAAATAGTTATGGATTCTATTCTTAGATTATGGTATGGCCATGATGAACTTTGATGACAACATAGCTACTTCTTGGCCATTTACAGCCTGATGATTGGGACGATCAGGAGTATATTCCTGATCCGGAAGACAAGAAACCAGAGGTAAACGTCTTCAGCTGATGAAGTTTTGCTGTGATCTTTAACTGAAACCTGACATGTATATTTAGCAATCTGACTACATTTCTATTTTTGAAGGGCTATGACGACATTCCAGTGGAGATACCTGATACTGATGCTAAGAAGGCAAGTCTTCTATTATTTTCTGTTTGGTCTTTTGCATTTTATTGTAAGCATAGCTCTATAGACAGCAAGGTAGTACTGAACCGCATGTTTACCACTCAAGCCTGAAGACTGGGATGATGAGGAGGATGGTGAGTGGACACCTCCAAAAACTGTAAACCCCAAGTACAAGGGGCCATGGAAGCAGAAGGTTAGCTGAAATATGTTCTGTTTGAAAAATTGCTATTGTATTCTAGAAGCATAGTTTATAACTGCTCTTGATATTTTTGCAGACCATAAAGAATCCAAACTACATGGGGGAGTGGAAGGCTCCTATGATCGACAACCCAGGTTGTGCATATGTTTATGTGTCTTTGTCTTTATGCATCTTGCAATCAGTTTTTTTTTCAAAGAATACTGTGATATTGTTTTTTTTTTTTTTCAGATTTCAAGGACGACCCAGATATCTATGTCTACCACCATTTGAGATACGTGGGGATTGAATTATGGCAGGCAATTGTCACTACATTCAATATTTGCTGCTTCTTTTTTTATTTTTTTTATTTTTTACGGAATTTAGAATCTTTGTCAAACATTTTATTTCCATCAACCAGGTAAAATCTGGGACCTTGTTTGATAATGTTTTGGTGTGTGACGATCCTGAATATGCAAAGCAGCTTGCTGAAGATACTTGGGGAAAGCACAAAGATGTGTGTTTTATTTGCAGTATAATGTTTTCAATCTTTGTTAAGGAATTTAC